TTAAACTTAGATCTGATCTAGCAAAAGTTGCCACAGCAAAAATGACGAAAATATGGAAGGACTGTCAAATTTCAAGAGCGATAAAGATGAGGTTGATCAATTGCTTAATATTTCCAATACTGACCTACGGATGTGAATCTTGGACTCTGAGACAATCGGAGAGAAGAAAGATAGACGCCACTGAAATGTTCTGTTGGAGACGAATGTTACGAATTACTTGGACCGACCGCAGAACAAATAATTCAATTTTAAGAGAGCTAAAAGTTAGCCAACGACTCTCTAGTAAAGTCCATCTCCAACAATTAAAATATTTTGGGCATGTTATGAGAGCAAACACAGAAAACATGGAAAGACTTATAATACAAGGAAAGGTAGAAGGCCGAAGATCACCAGGAAGATCCCCAACAAGATGGATAGATCAAATTACAGGAATATGCCAAAGACCTATGCATGAATTAAAAGAAATGACCAGAGGCAGAGATCTCTGGAGACGGACAATACACGACATCACGTCGACCACTACACTCCCCCTGGGGGGTCAGGATTGAAGAGAGAGACTTAAAAAAGGATGTAACTTTATATGTATACATTTGTGTTAAGGTAACTTAGGTTTAATCGAGCTCGTTTTGGTCTAAGAACTTGTGGTTAAATTTATGACCTACCCATTGTTATTTTTGGCATGACTTCTTTGATAATGTGTCTTAGTTTGGTATAAGGAGCTCGTCACCATAGTCATGAACATCTTGACAGATTTGTTGTGATGCATCATTGAACTTCAGCTCCGATAGTTTAAATATTGATTTCTCTACTGGTTGCGGTCATCTGTTACATGTACTACCTCAGTATGCTGTTTCTTGTGAAGCGTAATGTCTGCTCATCGCTGTAAAGATCTGCCACGTTGATGTTGATCTGCAATCTTTCTTTGACCACCAACTGCTACATTTTGTGATCATATCGATGGATATGAACAAATAACATTTTTAAGGGTAAAAAGTACTAGAGGGACGTTGATTGAGTTTAATTTCACCTAGAACCGGGAAATTCGTGCGGCGAGCCGTCTATCGAATTCAAAATAGCTTCTTTACGTCTACATTTTTAAAGCGCGTATGTCTATCTAAAGGACCAGAGTTAAAGTCCACAGAGTTCAGTCATTGCTGCTCTTGCTAGTTGCATGGGTCTTTAAATTTCAAGTTCACAACTGTCTGTGTTGTTAATTAGGGCTCCAAGGTATATCATATGTGTTGTTGTTCTTCTTCTTATGGTGCTTATCTATTACGGATGTTGGGCACTAACATGGCTATTCTGACTTTGTTGACTGCTGCCCGGAAAAGTCCGTTAGTGGTTAATTTAAACCATTTTCGCAGGTTATGCAGCCAGGATATTCTTCTTCGTCCTGGATCTATTTTCCCATGCACTTTACCTTGAAGTATGGACCGAAGTAGGTCATATCATTGTTCATTGCGCATTATATGGCCCAGGTATTCTAGTTTGCAATGTTTTATGGTTACGACTAATTCGCGCTCTTTACCCATTCTATGTAGTACTTCTTCGTTGGTAACTCTGTCTATCCAGGAAATCCTCAACATGCGTCTATAGCACCACATCCCAAATGCTTCGAGTATCTTCAGTGATTCTTCAGTTAAGGTCCATGATTAGACGCCATATTAAAGGTATAATGTTGTGGAGATCTATATTTATGGTTTTGGTTTTATTGTAGTTATCTATGAGTCTTAATTTAGGACTTTCTACTTCAAGTTTTTTAATAAGGTAGTGACTAATCCTGTAATAGACGCTAAAACGTAGTATCGTCTATGAAACGCTAGTTAGATGTATTGATACCTTCTTCTTCTAGTTCCATGACCGTTATCGATCGTTGGATATCATGTTGGCTACCATATTCGCTATCGTGACTTTATTGACAGCAGCTCTAAATAACGATGTAGTTGATTTTCCATACCATTGCCTTAGATTTTTCAGCAATGATGTTCTTCTTCTACCAGGACCACGATTACCTTGGATCTTTCCCTGAATGATCAGATGTAAAAGATCATATTTTTCAGGGTGTCTCATAATATGACCGAAGTATTCCAGCTTGCGTTTCTTTATTATATTGACCAGTTGTGTTGTTTGGTTCAGCCGTCTAAGGACCTCCTCATTTCTAACTCTGTCGACCCAGCTTATTTTCAGTAGTCGTCTGTATACCCACATCTCAAAGGCTGTCAAGCGTTTAAGCATAGCCTCAGTTAGGGTCCACGCTTCTACTCCATACAGCAGGACAGGAAAGATGTAGCAAGATATCATACGAACTCTAAGGTCAATGCTAAGATCATGACTGCAAAGTACGTTTCTCATTTTTACAAAGGCAGCTCGGGCTTGTTCTATTCGGCTTTTAATTTCTGCGGTTGGATCCCAGCTCTCATTGATATTACTGCCGAGATACACGAGTTTCTCTACTCTGTCCAGTGTGGCATCTCCGACTTTTATACCGTCATCATGTATATAATTTTGTTTGCTAACTATCATATATTTAGTTTTCTTAACGTTGAGTTTTAGTCCATACTGATCACAAGTCTGTTTTATTTTGTTCATTAGATTTTGAAGGTCTTCTCCGCAATTGGCAAGGACTAAGGTATCGTCGGCATATCTAATATTGTTGACGGTTACTCCATTCACAATAATACCTTCGGTTGTCTCCATTAAGGCTTCCTTAAATATTTCCTCCGAATATAAGTTAAAAAGTAAAGGCGACAATATACAGCCTTGTCTCACTCCTCTTTTTATATTTATTTCATCCGACAGTTCTTGTTCAACCTTTATTCTTGCCACTTGATGCCAGTATAGATTTGTAATTATTCGTAGATCTTTATCGTCCAATCCAGCTGTTTCCAATATTTCTAGCATTTTGTTATGTCGGACTTTGTCAAAAGCTTTTTCAAAATCGATTGCACAAATATACACATTTTGATTTATATCTCTACATCTCTGTACTAGCACCTGTATACTAAACAAGGCTTCTCTTGTACCCAAGCCACTCCTAAACCCAAATTGAGTATTGCTAATTCTGTCCTCTAACAGCGTATAAATTCTGCTGTGTATTACTCGCAGAAAGATTTTCAAAACGTGACTCATCAGACTTATTGTCCGATAATCACCGCATGTCTTTGGACGATGTTTCTTAGGTATTGTGACAAATGTCGACTTTAACCAATCAGTTGGTAATATGCCAGTGTCATAAATTCTGTTAAAGAGATTACACAGAGCTTTAATTCCATTTTCTCCCAAAAACTTTAGTATTTCAGCACTTACTTCATCGGGGCCAAGTGCTTTTTCCATTTTTTGCCGTTTGTATTAAACGTCTTACCTCACTTTCTGTTATAGATGGACCTGATATAGCAATCGGTGTATAGTGTTCTACTCTCTCATCTTCAAATAATTCAGAAATGTAGTTTTCCCATTCTTTTAACTTTTCATTGATGTCTAATATTCTGTGTCCGTTTCTGTCTTCTAAACTTTGGGATACTTGTTTCCATTTGTTTCCAGCGACCTCTTTCAATTTCTTGTGCAGATGAAATGTATCGTGTTTCTTTTTTTTTTGTGGTATTGATACCACCTGTGTATTTTAATAAGAAGCTATTGATTCCTAATTTCTGTTACTCGTTTTATTAATTCCATTATAATTTTAGTAAACTTGGGTTGAATGTCCAATAGATATATATATTGGTGTAAGAGCTAGGAGCTATGTTTTTGTTGATTTTTAATATAAACTTGAGGCGGATCCAAAGGGGGCCTTACAGGGTCATGACTCCTCCCAAACAAAAATAAATATTAATCAAATAATCCTTAAAAAAAATAATTAAAAACCCATCGACCGTATAAGCAGGAAGTCAAGAGTTAAAATGATTCAAACTTATTTATTCTAGGGGTAAGTGCAGAATTATGCGGAAGCCTTTTTAAAAAAATCAACAATTCTGAATACAGTAATACCTCGACTAACTTCCTCGACTGACTTTTGCAAATTCGAGCTTTCGCTAACCCCGAGTTACGCGTTTTTCAATTTTTTTCAATTTGTCTTTGAGTGCCAGAGAATCTTCTTCTTAATGTTCCTTCTTTATTACGGAATGGTGGCTATAACTACAGCAAATTGGTCTCTATCTTGAGCTGTTCTTAGTATCGAATATGTGTCCATGCCTGTCAAGTCTCTTACATTCTTCAGCCAGGAGCATTTTCTTCGTTCTCTTTTGCTTCTTCTTTCCCTTCGATTGTGAGTCGTAGATAGTTATATTTTTCTCCTCTGTAAATAAGTCCTAGTTAACTCGTTTTTTAAAACACACATTTTAAAGGCTCCTATACGCCTTATACTTGTAATTCCGAGAGTCCATGTTCCACTCCGTATAGCAATAAGCAATAAATAATGTTTTTACAAATTGCTAGCGGATACCCAACGATAAGATTGAGTTTATTAGGAATGTTTAATATATTATTTAATGTTTACACTTACATTGAGTTATTGCATTTAAATTACTTAATTATACTTATTTAACGTTGGTTTGTTTTTAATTTTGTAGTTGTTTTGTTTTGTTCTTGGTTTGTTTTTTTTATTTATATTTTAATAACTGTCCATTGGTTTAATAGTCTTACACACTTGATTTTACTTTAATAAAGTATGTGGGTTTCAATTATTTTCTTTTTTTGGTTTAAGTTTCCTTAATATTGTACCCTTCTTTGTAGCAATAACTTTTCATTAGTTTAATATATCGCTTAAAATAATTATTGAGAAAATGGTTCCCTTACATAAGGCACAATTAAGACCCAAGGCCCCCCCCTGGACGTGGATATTATATGTTCAATTTTGGTATTTTATTAATGGATTTTATTTTGTTGATTGATTAAAACCTTGAAATATTTGATTTTTAATTCTTATTGTATAAAAATGTACTTATTAAACAAAAATTGATCTTAATATATTTCCAGAGATAGATGCAAATGTTACTAAAACACACCTTTACAGTAAATATCCTTGTCAGGACCTTCAGCAACATTGACGGAGTCCAAACCTTTGTTACAGTCAGCACATTTGAAGCAAGTTTTGTGGAAGGCCTTAAATAAAAGTTAACAAAATCTTAAAAAATAAACAAATTCAAAAAAACAAAACGGGAACAAAGTAACATAAAACAGTGTACAGTACAGTTTCAACACTTTACAGGGACCTGCATGCTCGAAATGTAAAAACCATTTCTATTTTGTACCTCTGCAATATACCATCCCGTCTGGTCCATCACAGTGTGATGTTGAATCTAACCATTTCTCACAATTGTTACATCGGAAGCATATTTTGTGCCAGCCCTATGTAAAATTTATGTTAAAAAAATATTGAATTTGTAAATAAATAAATATGGGACCAAATATAAAAAATACTTGGTTAAAAAATTGGTTAGTGTCCAACGATTTGATTATTGAACTTGGATGGTATACAAGGCAAATATCGAACACAGTAATTAATTAAAATTTAATTAAAAACTAAATAGAGCTAAAATAAAAATTGCAGAAAAGCCTGCATATTCATCACAGTTTTTTCAGCCTAATGCTTCAGATAACATCAGATATTTCTCCTTCACTTATATTAGTAGCATTTCCAATAAAATATCTAAACTTTTTACTTCTACAATTGATAACATCAAAATTTCCTTTAAATCACATAACACTTTAGGTTCCTTCTTAATCAATACCAAAGATAGGATGAATACACTTGATAAAAGTGGTATTTACAAATTAAAATGTGATGATTGTGATGCCTCTTATGTAGGTAGAACCATCAGAAAGTTATCCACTAAAGTCTCTGAACATTTGAAAAGACCAAACTCTTCAAGTTTTGGTCAACACTTAGTATCCAGCAACCACAATTTTAACATCAATTCTGGTTCATCTATCTTACATGACATTAGTAGAAAGAAAAACTATCTTGAGTTGGATTTATTGGAAGATTTGGAGATTACAAGGGAAACAAATGAAAACTCTCACTGTCTTAATACTCAAATTAATCTTAAATTGTACTAAATTTAATCCTATATTTAAAAACTTTATTACAGCTTCACCTCGTAGAGGACCCAGCTCGACTATTTAGACTTCATGCACTGAGCATTTCAATATTAATTTTAAAGTTCTTCCATTGACTGTGGATTCAACTGAACTACTTAGATTATAACCCATTTATATATTTTGCTTTCAATTTTGATTTTAACTTTTAGTAATTTAACTGCATATTCATTTTTCCTTTTTTACAGTACTGATAGCGCTTGGTGGACCATTTTATTGTAGTCAACCATCCACTGTCTAATATATTGTTTAGTCTTTTTGTTACATTCATACTTTATGTCAACTTCAATTGCTCTCAAACTAACATCCTAATTATTATAGACAGGTTTGAGTGTGAGATTTGGATTATTCAATCTACATAAAAAATATACTATATAATTTTATATTTCATCAGTTGATTTCCTATAGTGGTGTCAGTTGGACCTTTGTTCAATACTTAGTTTCATAGAATTCTGAAAGGTGCAGATCACATATCTATTGTAACTGCCCTTTACAAGCTGTCATTTGTCACATGTCGTCTCAATATTTCCGCCAGACCGGGAGCCATTCTGTCTCCGGCTTCTATATAACATGTAGCTTCTCCATTTTTAAAAATTTTAAAGTGTTTGTTTGTCTTTGTGTATTGTATTGTTATGTCCAAATTTACATGTATGACATTCTGCTCATGTCGGATATGCCACAACTGACGAAGTAAGTCTATAAACGTTTATCACATAAAAACTTTTTTCAACCATAAACTTCGAGTTTTTTATCGAAGTGAATTAATTTTCCTTTTTATAAAAAAACGTTTCTTGGCTTATTTCAGATGACCCTGAGGATGATCTATTGATCGAAAGTACTTGGGCAAGATTTAATTAATTACTGTGTTCGATATTTGCCTTGTATACCATCAAAGTTCAATTATTCGAACATTCAACCTTATATTGATTTGATTATTGTCCAAAGTTAATTGAGAAATTATGAAAGTTTTGGATTTTATTTTGATTATTATCTTCATTTAGTGTTATGGAAACAAAATAAATTCATAATGCGTTTGCTTTCATAGTATTTTTTATAATGTATATAACTCGACTTAATAAATACTTGAGGGAAAGGCGAGAAAAAAGGCATACAGACAAAAGGAATTGTTAACATACAGTCTGGAGAGTACTTATGAAATAGAATTGTGTGTGTCCTTATATTAGAAAATTCTAAAAAACGCTGTGACTTGTCAACTTTAAAATAAAAATTTGCTTTTTTAAATAGAAATTTAAATAATATACTCACTCACGCAAGCCTAGCATAGTACATATTCTTTATTTTTAATGAAACGCTATGTATATTTTTATATATTTTTTTAAAAACTTCTTAATAACCGTATATCAACAAAGTCTGGTGGATCCTCAAAGAACGAACCTAATCTGGGAAATTTTGAAAGCTTGAGAAAATCTAACATTAAATATCTTTCCATACACTTATTAAGTATTTCTAATTATAAATAAAGTATTATAAGATTGTCTTACTTTATTTGCTTTATCTACTGATTGATTTTCTCTAATACGACGATTTTCAACGTGATAGCTACTAATTAAAGTGCTGAAAGTATTTTAAGGCTCTAACGACTTTATCTATGATTACTTCTAAACATATTGGTTACATTTCCTAGCTTTAATTATGTAACTCCCAAGATATGTCTCTCCAAACAGGAAATAAACATGTTCATTTAGAATAATCAACTACAGTGCATGTTAGAACATATCTTAATCATCTTAACCTAGGTTCTCTTATAATAACATCGATCAGTGCTACACCTAGACTTTCTATAACCGCAAGTGATCATCACTGCTGATGCCAATGCTCACCACCATATCTGGGGCAGTACAAACACTTATACACGATATACTAAACGTATAAAATAAACCCACTTTCATAACTTCACAACCGAAAAGAAATAATTAATATAGTATTGGCCACGACTCATGTGGTCAGAACTGTTAAAAAAATAGAATGTGTCAGATGAGGTGTCTTGTTTAGATCATCGACACATCTGTTTTGAAATAAAAATTAGGGAGCTTATCAAGTAAACTGATGTAAGATTAATCCTACTAAAATAGACTGCATTGCATCGGAAAGACAAAAAGCGCATTCTTGAGTACAAGCTCTATGCTCAAGAGCCATGATCTCACCCTAGAAACAAAAATAAGGCTTCTTAAAATGTTACGCGTACTAAGTGCTTCTGTACGGAGTAGAAATGTGGACATTGAAGACGGAAACTTTATCAAAACTTCAGGCTTTTGAGCTATGGTTATATAGAAGGAGCCTGAAGATACCACGGAAAGACAAAGTAACCAATGAAGAAGTACTACGGAGGATGAACACAACCACGGATTTGGTCAATATTGTAAAGGGCGTAAATTGCAGTACTTGGAATATATATTGAAAAACCAAGGCAGATATGAGGTATTCCAATGCATTTTGCAGAGTAAAATTAAAGAAGAAAGGGCACCTATCTTCAAGGAACTGTCTTCAATCTAAAGTAAAACTGATGAGAACCATTAGACATATGACATACACTAGACCGAAGAACATAACTTATATTTTATAAATAACAGAAAACAAGAAGTAGATCAGACTAAAAACAAATAGGCAGAAACTCATTTGATCGATATAAATCATCGGGTCCGAACGGAATTTATCCAATACTTTCACAGAAGGAAAATAACTTTCTGTGCAAATATATATATATATATATATATATATAATATATATATATATATATATATATATAAACTAAAGTTTATATATATATATATATATATATATATATATATATATATATATAATAATAAGAGGCCAGCTAAGTTACATACCAAAAGCATGGACAGTCATAAGAAGAAGGACAATATAAAAACTGCTAGATAGGCACATTGGATATGATGCATTGTTTAAAGATCCGATACAATAAGAACAGTATTCGTATCTGTTAGGATACGATATTGTAATTGACCTACTACCATGCAATTACAAAAGCAATTTACCTACAGAGATTACACGAAACAAGCTGCTGGATCCGCATAAGAAAATGAATATACCCACAAATTGTCAAAGATAGTGTAGAAATTTCCAAAAAATGAATGGCGCAACATAGCATTGTCACAGTTACATGGGTGCCGAGTTGTCGGGTAATATAAGCCAATAAAAAATCTGATGAACTTGACGAAAAGGGATAACCTTCAAAAATACTTTGGTACAGAGTCAGCGTAGGTGTGCAAAAAGCACCATTCACAACCTAAAAATCCTCGATTCTAACACAACATAACTCTTGCTACGAAATTATAGCTAAAAGTATAGTAAAGCTGATCAACTTATCGAGAAGGATAAACGTCAAATAATGAAAAAAACTTTAGTTAAACTCGGTTTAATAAGTACTAGGTCTATTCGATGTATACAATATACACATCATTAATGTATATTATACGCACATGGCACCTGTACTTATGACCTAATGATAGGTCCTGACGATTGTAACCTGAAATATAGACTTCGAAACCGGTCGTCAGAGCTTTGTAGACAGATTGTAACTAAAGTCTGTTTTATTCTTTCTCCTTATTCTTTAATATTTTGCCGTATATTCATTTAATAAGCTCTATATACAAATGTTTTGTCATTTACCTAAAAGTAATTGACTTCTACACTTTAACTAGATAAAGATTATGTACAGACGACCTTCTTGTATCTAGGTCAGAGACGCTACATAACTTACAGACCATTATATATTCTAATCTACATCTACCCATTTATTTATTTTTTCACTGATTTACTAATACCAAACCAAGAGAACCAAAACTATTATTGCCAAAATAATTTCTCATGCGGCACAAATGGATCTACAAAAAAAAACTGAAGAAAATAAAGAAGAGAACCAACGTGGCCTTCTTCTTCTTCTTACGGTGCCTATCCGTTCTGGATGTTGGCGATCAACATGGCTATCCTAACTTTGCTTGCTGCTATTCTGAATAGTCCGGTTGTCGATGTATTAAACCACTTTCTCAGGTTTTGAAGCCAAGATATTCTTCTTCTTCCTGGTCCTTTCTTTCCAAATACCTTGCCCTGAAGAATGAGTTGCAACAAGCCGTATCTCTGTTCATTCCTCATAACATGGCCAAGATATTCTAGTTTGCGCTCTTTGATGGTGTTAATAATTGCGCATTCCTTGCCTATTCTACGTAGGACCTCAACATTAGTCACACGATCCACCCATGAAATTCTTAAGATACGTCTATAACACCACATCTCGAATGCCTCGAGTTTTCTTAAGGAAGCTTCGGAAAGGGTCCAAGCCTCTACTCCGTATAATAAGGTAGAAAATACATAGCATCTAATGAGAGAGATTTTGGTAGCAAGTGGTAAATCATGACTTCTGAAAAGAGACTTTATCATTATGAACGCTGATCTCGCTTTTCCTATGCGTTGTTTTATTTCACTGGAGTGATCCCATTGGCTGTTAATGTTGGTACCAAGGTATGTGTAGCTGTCCACTCTGTCAATTGGATGTTGGTTAACCAAAAGCTGTGTATTTTTTATTTCGCGATTACTGACTACCATGTACTTTGTTTTCTTCGTATTAAGATCAAGTCCGTGTTCTCTACTTATATGTGATGTATGTGACATTATTCTTTGCAAACCGTCCAGACTATCTGCAAAAACTACTGCGTCGTCGGCATATCTAATGTTGTTTAGACGCATTCCGTTGACTTATACGCCTTCTTGTAGTTCTCCCAGCGCTTGCTCCAAGATATATTCAGAGTATATATTAAATAACACCGGGGACAGAATGCATCCTTGCCTCACTTCTCTATCTATGGAGACTGCCTCTGTCAATTGATCATCCACTTTAATATTGGCTGTTTGGTTGTAATATGAATTATAGATGATTCTCAAGTCCCTATCATCTAACCCCACTTCTTTCAAGATGTTTATAAGTTTATCATGTTTTACTTCATCAAATGCCTTTTTGTAGTCGATAAAACAAATATACACATCGCAGTTAACATCCCTGCATCTTTGCATAAGCACTTGGACAGCGAATAGAGCCTCTCGGGTGCCTAAAGAATCGCAGAATCTAAACTGCGTCCATGATACTTGTTTTTCGCATTTTTTATATATTCTGCCGTGTATCACTTTCAAGAACGTTTTAAGTAAGTGGCTCATTAGGCTAATTGTTTTGTAGTCTTCGCATGTCTTGGCATTTACTTTTTTTGGTATAGTCACGAACGTCGACTTTAACCAGCTTTGGGGTATTTTTCCAGTTACCTATATGTTGTGGCCTATAAACGTGGCGTATAAACGTAGCCTTATTTATCCTAAAACTATGGAACTGGATCCATTTGCAGGCTAAAATTCCGAAGACAAAAAGATACTTTTGAAAAGTAATCAGGAAAATCACCAAAAAACTCATTAAGTATCGAAAAAGGACCATCAGTTGATTAAAAAGGTTTAAATCTATCAAAGCAAGGTATCTCTGGACAGTCCAAGTGTCTAAAACTATGCGAAAGCCAGTATTATCGATATTCAGGTGGGCTTTTAAAACCTTTGAGATTGCAGTATCATATGGATAAGATGGAAAATAATCCATTTATCTATGGATATTTTAAGTTTTCTCGTTCTAACTTTAAAATTTTTTTATTAAAAAATTTCGTTTTGTTTAGCTTTTGCTCGCACTCATATTCAATGTTTTTTAATAATACTACACTATGTTTTAAATCTAAAATAATGAAAAGAGGTTAGTACTTAAGACTTAGCTCTTGTACAGTACTATTACATCCAATTTTTCAGCGTGTCCTAAATATATCATAATGCTAGTTGTTACCTCATATCACAAGTATCACGGTTTTACATATATTATTTTTATTTAATTCATATTACAATACTCTCAAAGTACTTTATGATATGCCTTTTATTTGAAAGATGAATAAAAATCCTAAGACTATTCGCTTCTTTATTCGTATATTATTCAGTTAGCTGCCTTATAATAAAAAATGTATGTGGTATTGATCGACATATATTCACATTGTTGTCGAATATTTTTAGTTGACACATACGCTTTAACACAAATGAAATGAACTCCCAATAGGAATGCGTTAGCCTAACTGTGATATTCGCCTTTTAACATCTAGGATGAATTTTGTATAGATCTCTAAGTTTTTTTTAATAATATTACTGTTAAAGCATATTTAATACTAAGCACAAAAGATTCTGGCACCTAATGAACATTATCAATACTTACTCTTCCACGCGCAAGCATTTGCTCGGCAGCATAGACGAAGCCTCCACATCGGGGACATCCTTCGCCGTCAGGAGCTTTGGCGATAGCTCTTGGCAGCAAAGGAGCACGGCTTTTTACAAAGTCGTCCTCGCTGAAAAGACAAGGAGTTAGTAGTACTAATTTTATCAGTAAGCCAAATGCTATTATTAAGAAATTATTTGTAGTGTGTTAATAAGCAATATAAAAAGTAAAACAGCTATGATTAGCCCAAGTGTTGAATTAACACTGTACAACAATCAATATTTTTTTTTGCTCTCTGAAATAAAAATGAGTGTTTTAAATATGTAGAGTATGTTGATTACGTAATACTATCTAGAGATGTATAGTTTTATTGAAATATTTTAAAAGTTATTTAAAAGAAAAGTTAGCAAATTACAAAAAAAATATATAAACTATAAAAGATAATTATTTAATTATCTTTTATAGTTTATATATTTTATTATTTATAACTAAACAAAATGTCTTAAAATATTACAGGCATAGTTAGCTTCTAGTACATCTCGAATCAGTTACCAGTAGTATTCAGCAAGCATGTTCAGTATATTATTTCCTGGTTGCCATTTTCTCATTTCTGGTATATTCTGATCAAACATTTCTTTAACACTAATCTTTATAGATAGAATAGGAATAAAGAAAAATTTTAAGAGACGTATTCGCCTATCACAAATTTGTATGCGCCTAGTAAATCTTCTATTAACTGACTGTGGCTATCAAATCACTAATTTCCTACGTGATTCGCATAAATTTAATCCTCCGTTTATCGGGTGTGGTCTGTGAGTGTACGACAAAATAAAAATTTTGGATAATTCTCTCATTTTATTTCTTTAAATTTCTACCTTTTCAGTAACTTCCTAGAAACTAAACACCATTCGTTTTTTTTATACAAAACTGTTTTTGAAATTTCTAAATAGCTGCTGCATGGCAGTTTGTCCTTACAGCCCCACACGATCAAATGTGTAACAATATTTGCACTGCTTCTTAGTTGTATTTTTTTTGCAATCTTGTTTCACTTGGCAATCCTGTGCATTTTTATGAACTGGATTATTCGGTTATTCCGAGAAAATACGTCAGTTCACTGTCTGCCGTATTATATATACCGAAGAAAGGAAACAATGTGATTGCTGTTTCCACTATGCACAGAGATGATCGGATTGATAAAGATACTGGTGATTAGAAAAAACCAGAAATAATTAGTGTTTATAATTCCACCAAGAGTGGAGTAGATGTTGTAGACAGAATGATCACATCATAATTATAATGTTTGCAGAAATACGAAACGTTGGCCAATGACAGTAGTCTATAATCTCCTTAATCTCGCAGCAATTAATGCATTTGTAATTTATAAAAGCAACAATCCAGACAGAGAATTTTTCAAAACGCGAAGATTATTCCAAAAAAACCTAGGTATGGAATTGGTACAGGAGAGTATACGAAGGAGAGCAGTTGACACGCATTTGACAAAAGCTCTGCGTGCTCGGCCTCAGGGATTGAGGTTGTCGTTGTACCAGAGAACCAGCCAGGTAAGAGAGGAAATTGTAAATGTTGCAAAAGACGCAAAACTTGCTTTTTTTGATTTATTATAACCACATAATACCATGCTGCAAAGATTTCTTAGAAAATTTGACCACCAAAGTTTTGACCACTGTAGTTTGTGTCCACAATTAAATTTTTTAGTTTATATATGTTTTTGTAGTACTTTGTTTTTAATTAAGGTTTTAAATATTTTTTTGTTTTTTTCATTATTTAGTCGCTGTTCACAACTTTGAAAAAATATGCGTTGAAATAGTAAACATTTTTGAAATTTACCTGATACAACTTAAAAAAAATTTGGAATTGTTTCTGTAATAAACATTAACTAGTAAATGATTTGTTTAAAACGCGTTGATGCGAAATTAGCAATAAAATGTATACTGTTGCTCGGGAGGCGGTATTTCATTTTGGTCCTCACAGACCACACCCGACCGAGGGTGTGGTCTGTGAGGTCCGACCATTCTGAAACACCAAGTGTTTCAGAATGGTCACCCGATGAACGGAGGGTTAAAGGTAATCTACTCTGTAACAATAAAACACTGAAAACTTTGTATTCAAACTTCCACAAAATTTATTTTAAACTCTTATCACTACGGCTGTTTCGGCTGATTGCCTTTCTCAAGTGATCTATTTTTGACATGCATTTACAGTTTATATTCTTTAATGAAATAGGTTAAACGAAATAGGTAGAAATGAAATAGGATGGGAAAACTGTTTGTCTCAAGTTGGTGATTCAAAATTATATCTCTGTTTTTTAATTTGTTGATTTCCATAGATTCTAACAAAGATAGCTTAAGACCTTTCGTCATTAAAAGGATGATTATGATCTAGAAGGTGAAGTGCGTATGTAGATTCTTTTTTTTTTATTATTGAAAGCCTTTTATGTACTGCGATTCGTTTATTAAAATTTCTACCAGTTTGACCGATGTAGGTATTTGGGCAGTCGCCACATTTAAGTTTGTACACACCACGGTGTCAAGTATTTTTTATTTTGGTTCTTGTTGTTTTTAATATATTTGCTTAAGTTGTTATTTGTTCTGAAAGCTGGTGTTATTCCTTTCTTTTTATGTGTTTGGCTATTTTTGTTGATATTTTGTTGGATGGTATGATGAATTGTGTATAGTCATGTCAGTATAGGTAGGTTTATGAAATATGGAGAAGTCATGTTTTGTTTTTTAAGTCTGATAATTTTCAAATCTAAAAAAATTATGGATTAATTTCGCTCTGTTTTTATTGTTAATTCAATATGACTATGAAGTGAATTAATACACGATAAAAATTAATCGAGTTGCCTCTAAGTTTCTGTGAAACATACCAGCACGTCGTCTACGTATCTCTGCCAATATAAAAACTGTTTAAATACGGGATATTTTGAAATCTTTTTTCTCTAGATGATCCATAAAAATATCTGATATTGATGGGCTTAGAGGATTGGCAATTATAAGTCATGCACTGTTATTTGTATATATTTGATTATTAAGTTCAAAGTAGTCCTGGTTTATGCAAACTTGAAGAAGGTGTAAAATTTAAGATAATAAATTTCAATAATTATTGGATTTGTACTATTTTGGTCTAAAATATTTTTTTTCTTCAAACGTCAAATAATGATGACATTACTTATCTAACTTGATATTGTCAAAGTTTGATGTCTCCGCCGGCAGAAGTTTTTTTTTCCCATTTCTTTACGGCGGAGGGAAACATGTTGTCATGGCAACAATATGAAACATGTCACAAAGCAACAATACAAATGTCATTACCAACAATTAAACATCATTTTTATTTATAGTAATATTAAAAGTACAATTAGTTAATGATGCATTTTCAAAATTGAAACCGGCACAAATGTTTCCCGACTCTTGATACGCATTGGTAATTGTTGATGATACTGATGGTCGACAATAACTTTCAGCAATCATTCCCGAATGTTGGCGGCTTGTAAACAACAATAAGCTGTCTTTAATAATTGCAAACAACTGTCAAACAACTGTAAGCAGGGAGACGCAAATCCCACCGACGACTTAATTATTTTAATTTCTAACATATAGACGACTTTGATAGTTGTCACAGTTAATTTCGAGTAAAAATAGCGTATGAATTGTACTATTTATGGTTGAAAATTGCTACGTTTGAAGAAAAAAATAGTATACTTTAATTCGGCAAAGAAGCGACTTTTCTGACTTGCCGTCTATTAAGCGCCCCACTTCGTTCGGCGTGTAATATCGGGCGCCTCAAGAAAAGTCATGCTTCTCCTCCTCATAAAGTAATATACTATTACTAGAATTACAGTTTCTGTAGGAGAGATACTAAGAAAAAGATTTTTTACGTCAAATGAAATTTGTCTGAAGTTGTTAGGTCATTGAATATGTTGTATTTTCTTAACTAGTTTCATTGTATTTTTTATGGTAAATTAAGGTGAAAATTTAGTGTGTTCTTAAATAATGTCTAACAGTTTTTTTGAAAGTTTAATATGACGGAGCTGTATAAAAAGAAACTACAGGTCTTATTGGGTGAATCCGGTTATGTGTAGTTTAATGAAAGAGTATAAATTCAGGAGGCTGTGGGTTCATGATAGTGAGGTATTTCTGTTCTATTGGATTTACTATTGATTTTGAATTTTCTAATGCAAGCTTAATTTGTTTTGTGGATCTTTGTGTAACGTTTCAATATTTTGATTATTTAAGAATTCTATTCTTTTGTTATTAAATTCTATTTTATCTATAGCAATAGTAGTGTTACCTTTTGTCTGCTTTTGTAAACACTATGTTGTTTTCTATTGATTTATTTTTAATTAAAATGTCTGTTTTATTTCTCTTTGTAACAGGAATTTTTAGTTTCACTACACATCACATCTGTAATATATTTGACAATTATGCTTTTTTTTCGATATTGTTAGCAGTTTTGTTTAAACGCTACCTTCACATATCTGCCACCTAAATATTCTAAAGGTTCTTTCATTATTATGTTGGGGTATAATTGTGTTTAGATCCTTCTCTAAAAGTTGTATCTCACTATTACTAAATTTAGTATCTGTTAAATTTATAAATCGATTGAAAAAGATTTCTAGATCACAATCATTTTTTTAATGACGAATTTAAAATTCTTCACTTTCAAAATAAAGGCCTTAAGAAATCCTTGTTAGAATCTATGGAAATCAACAAATTAAAAAACACAGATATAATTCTGAATGACCACTTGAGACAAACAGTCTCCCTCCTCAACCTATTTCATTAGAGACTATAAAGTGTAAACGCATGCCAAAAATAGATCACTTGAGAAAGGCAATCACCGAAACAGCTGTAGTGATAGATAGAGGTTAAAATAAAATTTGTGTGAAGTTTGAAAACGAAGTTTTCAGTGTTGTATTGTTACATAAAATGAATTTCCATCAAGTAACGGTCGAATATCAATTAATTTATAAATGTTAATAACTTCATTTTTTTGTATTACACATGTAATTAATAACTACTTCAAATTATGGCAGTTATTGAATTATTAAAGTATTCTAAATTTCAAACTTATCGACACAAAGTTATTCAATTGTTTATTATCCCTTCAAAAATA